AGCAGATGTGTCCTTTGCTGGACATGCAAGGAATTCTGCTTGACATCAAAAACACTTGAATGCATGAATATCATCTCTCACGCCTCCCTCCACTCTCATGTAATCAATGTGCTCCTCTAGAGCTAAGCAAATTCTCACACAAATGCGCAGCCCCAAGTCCTGCTTCCTCTTCCTGCAGACCTAATCACGGCTCCTAAAGACACCATCCTCCTGCCATCCCTGGAATTCTGAGGTCAGCCTTGACTTCTCCCACTTCCTCCACAGTCATCTCGAGCTGCTACATCACTCTGTTATTCTCCATCTCACATCTTTGAATCAGGATTCCATGAATCATACTGCAAACACATAGCTATTTTATGTACCACTAAGAAAGAAAGGACGTGCTATTTAAAGCATGTCGCCGTGCTTTAATTTCCTAGAAGTTCTATTTTCTACTTACTGAAAAAGCCCTTCTAGAACCATTTAGACACCCATTTTTATGACATAGTATGCTTGTACTTAAAGAAAAATGAGAATATAACACAATCAAATCACCTGAATACCCCCAAGATTTTACATCCAGAGTCTGACTCTTCTGAGCCACTTTTCGACTGCAAGTCAAAGGCTTCAGTGCTCCTGCACATAGCGTGGGAAGGTTGCCCCATCACCATCTCTAAAAAGCCTCCAAGTTGCTGGTATCTGATCTGCACATTTCGGCGCTGCTGCTTTATGCCTTACAGAGTGGGAGGCAATGCTTTTGCACCAGTCTAAGGAACAAAACGTACCCAAATGTGGTTGGTCGCTTGCTGGCCACATAGCCCTCCCCTCTCAGGCTACACACAGGTTTGCAAAGCGAATCAGCTCTTCTGTGCTCCTCTGCTGAGGGAGAGCCTACTTCTCCACCTCCTTAAATCTGAGCTAGTTTGCGGCATCCTGCTGGAAGATGAGATGCCACGTGGAAGGGAAACAAAATGCTCAACAACCAGCACTAACTGCAGACATGTTGGTGAGGCCAGCTGGAACATCCCAATCCAGCAAACCTTCCACTGAACACAGCCTCATAAGCAACCAAGGTGAAACCAGCCCAAGACCTGTGCAGTCAAGTCACAGAACTTAAAGATCATAAACCCTTGTTGCCTGAAGCCCCCGGTTTGGGGGTGGCTCATTATACCACGTAGATCACTGACGCTGGCAGCTACACCTTTGTGTGTCTACCTCCCTGTCTCAGGTCCTGCAAAAGAGCTGGTTGCCACTCCACAAGAATAGAAGAATTGAAGAATTATACTCAATTGATAGCAAATTTGCATCTTGCTGTTCTACTTTTAGCCCTTTCTGTGTATATAGTAACTTTTTGTTTAAATTCTTTGTCATAGCAAAATCATTTTGAGAACATTTTACACAGCAGTTAACTCAACATGTGCAGAATCCACCCCACCCCCAACTCAACTGAAGACACAGTCAGATGAGCAGCCAGCACCTGCAACGTGGCTACCAACAGGAGTCCTGAGACGCCGTCAACGTCAGCTGCACCTGTTCCAGGGATGCCAGGATGTGGGAACGTGCCCTCCAGAGAATCCATGACACACAGCATCTCCCAAGTCCCACTGCTCTGCTCCCCCTGTCACCTCACTGGGAATGTGTATTTTGCTCCCTTTCCAGTCCATACAATTTATTCCATCAGTAGTAGTGAGTATCAAGCGATATGGTCCACTGCACTCCCTTGCTTAAATCTGGGTCCCTGCAAATAAGAATATCTTCCTGGGGAGCACAGCTCCCCTGACCCCCTACCTGCCCACTCTCACAGTGCTTTCCCACCCTGGGTATCAGGGGTTTCTTCCTGACTCCGTTGGGCAGTGTTGACGGGAGACATAGGCAGATGTGGAAGTTAAACAGTTTATAGGAGAGGCATCACTGATCTGTTGGAATTCTGGAGGCGGGGAGGTTGGTACTGGTGAAATCTGGGTCGATTTAATTACTGGGATTTAATTCACTGAGCAGGAGGGCTGGATGAGGTCCGCTAGGGTTACTGTCACGCTTATTGACACTCTGACTTCTCCAATCATGGAAACTTACACTTCCCCCATGTCCGTGTCTCTCATGCTGGCAGGGTGTGCTTAGCATGCTGCCAACAACTCACCACGGCCTCTGGACGACCAGAGGAATCAACAAGTGCCCCGTTCAGGTCTGATATCCTGGGGGTCACAGGTTCTAGGTCATGTTTGTGATTTGTTCATTGAAGGGTCAAGAAAGACTTTCTGCTTTGTATTCTAGGTACTTTTGTTTAAGCTTGCAAATTTAAAAGAAAATCCAGCACCCAATTTTAGGAAAAGCTGATACTTTGATTGGCTGATGTTATGAGAGTGGCCACACCACCAAGGGTCCCAACAGCCCCCCATATTCCACAAGGCAATATCTTAATGGACGGTCACTCCTGTAATTTTTTTTTATTTTGTACCTTCTTTTCCAAAAGGATGCTGTGATGGTTCACACAGAAAACAGATAAAAGAGGTTTAGCAAGTTAGAAATGGAAAACCTGGGGCAAGCAAGTAAAGAAACAAACACATTTATCATAAATGGCTAAGTTGCTGCAACTCATCATAAATTCAAGCCTCAGAGAAGTCCTGTGTGTGGAATTCTTTTCATTCTTAGAAACACACCCGCTCTTCAAATGAAGCCAAAAAATATTGATACTAAGTTCTAAGATAACACATCTTTACAGATGTAGACCTTTCTATAAGGGACAATGAATTAGCAAGGCATATTATTTTTGTATTCTCAATGATCATCATTCACTCATCCATTCAACAAATACCTAATATTAAAATGCATTTCCTAGAAAAAGAAAATCCAAATAAATAAGCTGATCATTTGACTCAAGAAGCTACAAAAAATAACGAGTCGATTCAGAAGAAAAGCCCTGGCAGCAAAAGCCAGACAAGGACAACGTGAGAAAGAAGTCAGACAGGCTCACCTCACTCATGAGCAGACATGCAAAAATTTCCGATAAAGCTTAGCAAAACGTATTCAGAGAAACATTTTTTAAAACATAAGGCTCAATCAGTGAGTGAAGGTGGATGAGGACCGTGGTCGTGAACTCGGTGTGAAGACTCAGGTCAGCACTGTCATCGCCTCCAGCAGCAGCAAGCTGCGTAAGTGCAAGTGCAGGGGAAGTGCAGGGGGGCTCACCCCGGGCCAGACACTTGCCAGATGCACACGGTGGCTCAATGGTGAGAAAATCAAAGCTATTTGCAGGAGGGTGATTAAAATGGCAATCATGAAACCTGAGCTGCAGCAGCAGAAAAGCAAAGCCCAAGGCGGTTAGTTACTGGGAAAGAATAGACCAGGACAATGTGGACCCTCAAAACCAGTGTGTCACAGTAGGGAGGGCATTCAAGCCTGTGAGCTGGGCGGACAGACAGACACTGGCAAGGGTATGCATTCAACAGCCTTGTCGAATAAATATTAATGTCAACTGAACCACTAAAAGACAGTTTTGATAGGATGGCCAGGGATACACCAGAATCACATAAATATGTTAGAAGGACTGCTCAGCCCCTCTAGGATCCAGCTTCTGCATACCTGTCTAGTCCTGTACCCTGATACCTCCTTGCCATTCTTCCTCCTGCTTTACGCTGCCACTACAAATTGTGTGCTGATTAGCAAACACACACACACACACACACACACACACATACATATGCATCCATACATATAGGTACACAGGCATCCAAGCACACATATGTATCCATGCACACAAATGTATTCATATGCACACCCATGTATGCCTCCATACACACAAACATATACCTCTGTACACATGCATATGCATTCATACACACACATGCATGTGCGCACATACACGTGCACACATGCATCTATACATGCATGCATCATATATACATGTGTATGCATGCACACATGCACATATACATCCATACACATACCTCCAAACATACGTATACACATACACATCATATGCACACATATCTGCATCATATACATTCACACATGGATGTACATCTGTACATGTATTCATGTGTACACATGCATACCTATGCCTCCATACACATATGCATTCATATACATGCATGCCTCCATACACACTTATGTATTTATACATATACATACATGCATTCTTACACATGCACCCATACACACATGCATATACACATGCATCTATACACATGTGCACCTATACACGCATGTATTCATATGCACACACATGCATCCATACATACACATGCGTCCATGTACACACATGCACCCACTCACACATGGATACATATGCACACACACGCATCCACTCACACATATGTATTCATATGCACGCAATGCATCCATGTACACATGCATCCACTCACACATGTTTTCATGCACACACATGCATCCATGTGCACACATGCATCCACTCACACATGTATTCATATGCACACATGCATGCATTCATACATACATGTGCATCCATGTATGCACATATGCATCCACTCACATGTATTCATATTCACACACACACATGCATCCATACATACACATGCATGCCTCCATGCACACATATTTATACACACACATGCACCCGTACATACATACACATATGTATTCATACACACATGCACATGCAGTGAGCTGCTTCTCCCCGCTGCTGCCTTACTGCCACATCTGCCTGGAATGTCCTCCTCCCACCCTTCGCCAGAGCCCACTGCCACTCATGCTGAGCTTTAATCAATTACTCTCCTCTCTGTCTCATAAGAGTTCAAATATATTTTTGTCTTCACACCTACTGGGTTGCATTACAAATACCTGTGTGTACCTCTCAGCTCTGGGTTTTGTGCTCCAACATAAACTCTCTCCTATTACACCATTCTCAGGAGTGCACCTGCTTTTTCTTTATAAGCCTGGTACTGATGCTGGCCCAGGAAGTTCTGTTTATAGCTCACGCCCTCGCCCTGCACTGTGACCTTGTTAATGCCAGGAGGTGCCAGAATCAGGAACAAGTTACTTACTTGTTTTAAAACGTTATTTACTTTTTTCTTTCTCTGTAGGTGTTTTTCAACATTCGCATACCTTCTGCAAGACAAAAGATATTCAACTTGAAATGCAACTCCCTGTGGAGTTCTCTCTATAAAATGTAGGCTGCCTGGTCTTTAGGAGGGGAGTGACTATGAGGAGGAGCAAGCTGTCCACAGAGGACATGGCTCATGGCAACAATGATTTCCCAGCCTTAGGAACAGAAAGCGCCCCAGGAATCTGCTGGATTTCCTTCCTGGAGATCAGATGGCCCATCCTCCTTCTACCACAGCCCAGGTCCCCTGCCCCCCCGCTGCCTCTGCAAGTGCAGGCATCCCATTTCCAGCTCCTCCTTAGTGAGGATTTCTCCAATAGCTGCTACTCAGATTTGGAAATGCTTCTACCCCAGGATTCTCTGCAAAAGAGCACCTCCTTGGTCTACTCTGTGTAAGCCACATGAGCTTCAGTCTCTGAATGACTGCATGCAGCCTCCTGTTGATCCTAAGCTCAACAACTCCAGCAAAGGAAAAAGATATTTAAGCCACTCAGGCTCGAGCGGGGCTTCCCAGTGAACAGATGATGGCAGAAAGCAAGACACATCGAGGTGGGAAACACGTAGGGGCAGGTAGAAAGACCGACTCCACTCCTCAGCCCCGAGACGCTCCTCCTCACTGTGCCATCAGGACTATTAGCACGAATTAACTCAATAAAATCAAGAAATAGCCAGGTGTGCCAGGCACGCAGGTGGGACTCCAACCTAACCATCTGCCTGGATACCAAACTCTGTGGGGCTGTCCTCCGTAGACAGGACAAAGGGAGCCTTTCTCTGCCTTGAAGGACAAACCCTAGCAGCACATGAAACAGCATGGGAGGAGGCCATCCCGGACGCCGCGCCCTCAACGGAGGCCCAAGCTCTCCAAATGCAGAAGGCGCTCGTGCCACAAAACCTCAGGTGTAGAGAAAGGCTGGCCACCTGCACAGTGTGCAAACCATCGGTCCTGCTCCACAATGACAGGGGAAATGACAGCTCTTTTTCTTTGCTTGAGATAATAACCACTAAAAACTTGATGACGAACTAGCTCCAGGAAGGTTCCTAGTAAGCCCTCAAGTCGTGTCCTACTCGAAATGCATTTCAAACACACCAGTCAGGGCTGAACAGCTGAGAATGAAGAATCGCACAGATGGGCTCCGGGACCATCCTCTCCGTGCTGGTCACTGCTTCATGGCCCTAAACACACATGCAGTGGGGCACCCACTTAGCCAAGCCCAGAATGACTACAAAAATCATGGCTTTTTTCACCAGGAGAGAGCGACACTCGGCCCAGACTGTATTTTAGATCTGGGAAAGCAAGCCAAATCAAGAAAACCAAGCATCACGCTGGGTGTGCCACGGGCAGGCATACTGTGCCTAGAATCGGCTCTGAAACTATATTGCACATTTCAAGTCTCGATCTCTAAGACTCCTGGTTTCCCAGAGAAAAGCAGCAGACCCAGCGTAGATCTTGCTGTCCTTGTGAAGACATCACACAAGAGCAGTTTCCCCACACTTCATTTTTAAAATCTAAAATTGTATCATATATAAGAATATTATATTTCACTACTGAAAAATCACCAATAGCTGAACTGGACCTATTTGGGAGAGATACTAGGGGAAAGGCAATTTGTTTCCAGCACTCAGGAAGGGAGGGTTTGAAGCATGCTCACTGTTGGACCTCGCCGGGCACCCTCGGAGACTTCCAGTAAGGAAAATACTTGAAGGTCTCCAGTCCCGCAGCAACGTAAAAGTGATTGTCTTGCAAATCATTTGAGTTATCCAAAAGATGCCCATCCATTGTAAATAATCTGCAAAAACAGAAAGAAGAAACGGGATAGAGATTTGAGGATCAGTAACAACAGGGCTTGGGGTATGTGTGCAGACACCGTGATTGGTACATGGACGGCTGGAGAAGGAGCGCTCATCATAAGCAAGGGTCACCCAAATGGGCCAATTAATCCCGATGGGAGCTGCTCTTTCAGGATGAGACCTGCTTTCCATTTTTACATTTTTTTAATTAAAGCATATTTTTAATTATATACAAGTGCTCAGAGGCGCTCAAGAACATGTTACACTCTTGGTTAGTGTTCAATTAATTTTAACTAATAAAAACTAAAATTACCACAAATTGGCTCATATTGTTATAACTACTTTGAAAGCAAACCAGGATTTATTAGCAAATAATATGCATTTTTATAAGTACCAAAAGACTAATATTAGAATACTTTTTACTCAGTACTCGGTTTCGGCAGGTACTCCTTCACTAGTTTATTTAAGAAATGATTCAATTAATTCAATGCTGAGCCTCTACATGCATAAGACAATGAGGCAGGCAATGCATTCCGTAGAAATATGCATGAGACAGTCTCTGCCTCTCTGGAGTCAGGAAGCACACAAAAGCCTGAAAAGCTGAACCTGACAGGTGAAGTGCAAAGGGCTGGGGGCCCAGAGAAGGAAGGCTGACCCCAGTGCAGGCTTCACAAAGGTGGAGGAACTTGAAACAGGGTCAGGAGGGTGGGTGGTATTTCATCATGTACCGATGGGATGAAGCCATCTGGGCAGGAGGATTCTGTGCAAAAAGCTGGAACCCAGGTTGGGAGGGGAACTGACAGCCACGGAGGATGAGGCGCAGACACAGCTGTGAATGAGCAGGACAGGGGCAGTTTCCAAACGGCCTTGAATTCTGGGGAAGGGCATTTATCATTAATTTCGTCAGAGTGAAGACTTCCAAGGAATAGTGGATAAAGGCTGTGTTTTAGCGCTAGTGCGCGGGCAGCTGTGGCCAGAACGTCACTGAGGAAGAATTGCCCCTGCGGGAGGAGACTCAGAGCTGAAGCAAGAGCCTGAGAGGAAGGAACAAATTAGGGCGGGAACAGTAGGAGCAGAAGAGAAGAAACGCAGCGGGCATGGAAAGGAAGCATCTACAGAACCTATCCCTCGCAGAGCTGGGCATCAGAGCTGCCCTGAAGGTCAGCCTCAGAGTGCTGGGCCCCACCCACCGCAGGACTCCGGCTCAGGAAGCCTAGGAGGAGGCCTGTGCAGGGCATTTCTAACAGGCTTCTGGCTGACGCTGCTGCTGCTGCTGCTTCTGGACCCTGACCCGAGAGCTGCTGCAGAGACGACCCGGAGAAAAACGCAAGAGGCATCAAGACAGGAGACTGGGAGAGACATGGCGGAGCAGCACGTGGGGAGCCGGCCTGCTGGAGCAGAGGCTTCCACGGGATACCCAGAGCTTGGAATTCTGTTCTCCTCCGCCAGGGCCCGGGGATGGTCAGTCCCCTCTGGTGGACTTGGACAGCCAGTACTAGCATCCCCAGGAGTAAATCAGGAACATGCAGAAGCCTGACCAGGGAACGGGTCACCAACGGTGGTCCTAAGGAGAAGGTGTCCTCCCAGCGACTGCTGCCGGGACCAAACAGCAAGGCTCTGAAGGGTGGGAACAGATGGACCAAGAATTCACACGTGAATATAAAAAATGCCATCGAAGAGGTGGCAGATATTTCCAGGACGAACAAGAAAATGAAACCATAAAACAGAAGCAAGTAGAAGTACTGAGGTGAAACTCAAGTCCTGGAAAGAAAAAATCACGATGGGGTGGATCGGAGGATAGACGTGCACTGCTCGCTGCTGTTTGGAGGTGAAATTGAGGAACGCCCTTAGGGGAAGGCAGGGAGGAAGAGACAGGATCTGCAAAGGACGAGCGAGACCAGGGTGAGCAGACGTGCCAACACCGCCAGTAAGAATCCCAGAAGGAAGTTATAGTAAAAACGCAAGAAGAAAACGTGGAGAAATCATGAAAATTAATTTCCTGGAATCAAGGAAAGAGAATAAGCTGCAGGTGAAAGAGTCCACAGATGTCAAAGAACGGAAACTACAGGAAAACTCGCCGGCAGATACCTGGGTGTGACACCTGAGGTCACACACAGACAGCATCCTAAAGGCACTGGGGCGGAAGGCCCAGCTGTACCTCCCGGCAGGACAGGACTGACTGGGGCCTTTCAGCAGCAGCACAGACGGGAAAGACACTGATATTTTCAAAATCTAGAAGAAAAGAACATTCAAGGCAGCCAGACCCTCACGTAAACAGAAGGGACGAGATAAAAACGTCCTCAGGCTTACAAGGCCTTGGGAGATTGGCCACACAGAGACCCACGCCAAGAGCATTTTTAGAAGACGTGGTGAAATAAGAGACAGCGAATCCAGGAGTCGCTATGAGAATGATGTGAAGTAAAGGTGACCAACACAAGGCCTATTTGTATTATCCTTTTTTTTTTTTTTTTGAGACGGAGTCTCGTTCTGTCGCCAGGCTGGAGTGCTGTGGCACGATCTCAGCGCACTGCAACCTCCACCTCCCAAGTTCAACTCTCCTGCCTCAGCCTCCAAAGTAGCTGGGACTACAGGCCCCACACCCGCACCACCACGCCCAGCTAATTTTTTTATTTTTAGTAGAGACGGCGTTTCACCATGCTTGCCAAGATGGTCTCCATCTCTTGGCCTTGGGATCCGCCTCCCAAAGTGCTGTGATTACAGGTGTGAGCCACCACGCCTGGCCTGTGTTGTCATTTTTTAAAAAGCTAAGATCAAACAAAACATGTTCATCATAGCCCAAAATTCCAATTCTCAATCATAGCCATGCAATAGGAGCTGCTGAGGGGAGACCAAGGGACATAAAAATGAGCTTATGTTCTTGGCTGGGGAGGGGGAAGACGCAGAAATCAATCATCCCAGAATCACCAAACCTTGACGACTGGCAGACAAGAAGGTGTGTGCAGTGTCCAGTGTGGGTCCAGGGATTCTGAGTGCTGAGCAGAATGTGGGAGACAAGGAGTGGAGCTGATGGCTTGGGAGGAGGGAGATGGGAGGGAAAATGAGCTGTGAGCAGTGAAGTAACTATAAAAAATGTGCCTGAAAAAGCTAAACTTGAATGTCTCCTTATAAACCAAAAGTGTGTCAGGCTTTCCTTCCAGCAGCAGGTGTCTTGCAGGAATGAAGCTAGCTGTCTTTATGTTCATTTGTTTGCTTTTAGATAGCCGTGTTCTTTTCATTCAGGGATGGAAAAATAAATACCAAAGAACAGGACTCTGGCTGGCTCCACGCAGGATTCAAGAGGTGTCCCCTAAATGGAGACAGAGCCATGCCACTGGTTTAAACCCTACGGGGCCAGCAGGACACCTGGCTGCCCACACGCTGGAGGAACACACTGCTCAGGCACATTCCCCTCAGACACTTCCCTAAACTCATCTCAGCCTCATTTTCTTCTAAGAGAGGTACAACTCCCAGGGTGAAGGGTAAGTAGAAATTCCTTGGTGGGATAAGACAGAAAGGAAGTCACAGACAGAAAAATGACATATGCATCCACGTGCAAATGTGAGCCTGTATGATATGTTCAGATGACACCTATGCAGACATAGAAATGTGGGCCAGGACGTCACATCCAGAGAACCACAGCTCTTACTGAAGTGCGAGTGTCATGCAAATGAAGAAAAAGAATACAGACAACTGAGATCATGCACGTAAATAACAGTGTTTTGCACCATAAAATGCTAAACACTAGGGATTTCTATTGTTATCTGTATCAGAAAATGTAAGGACTAAATCAAAGAGCCATTTGCAAAATTGTTTTGTAAACTGGAAAACATTACAAAAATGTCCATTATTAAGTGATTTTTAATGAACCTTAAAGACTGAGGATATGGTAGAAAATGTAAATATCTCTAAATTAAATCCTTTACCAATAAACAGCCAATTTGGCTGTTTTCCCAAAATAAAGGTACAGTCTGGCTTACAGGAATTTTTAAATTTGTGTTTAATGAGATTCCTTTTCAAGACCGTGTAGCAATTAAAAGATAGATCTGATTTTCAGCTAAGGTTTCAGAATCTCTGGATGCACAGTCTCATTGGGCACCCTGAATCCTGGCCTCCAAGTCCATGGGTCCCAGGTGTTATTCAGCTAGTTCCCCCACTATTAAGGGGCTAAAAAGCAGAGATGTATCAGACAGGGTTCCAAACTTTAAGGAGCTTAAAATATGGAAGAAGAGAGACGACAAGTCCACAGATAACCATGTCCAAGGTTGATGGGCTATTTACCAGGACTCAGTCTTCAGGCCTCTCCTCCAGCACCAACTCCACCCCACCCAGTGCCACAACCGTTGATACATCCATGACACTCAGATCATGTGTCCGTTTCTCCAACCTGACCTCTTCCCTGACGTCACACTCACATATCCAGCCTGGCACATCCACTCTGATGTCCAATATGCCTCGCAAACAGGGGGCATCCAAATTTAATTCATAACTCCCCCAAAACACATTCCTCCTCCCACCTCCCCCTTCTTAGGAATGGTACCGACAGTGTCCCAGCTGCTCTGATCAGAAGGCTGGGAGTCTTCCTCCCCTTCTTCCTCCTCTCCCCTCCCGCTTTGCCTCCCCCTCAATCCCACCCCCACCCCCGCACCCCATCTCTCACTCACTCACTCCTACATGAGGAGGTTGAGCAGCAAGCCCCATAGCATACAGAAACACAGCCAGAACCTGCCTGCCTTGGCCCCAGCCACTGTGGCCTCCCCTGGATCACCTGCAGGCGCCTCCAGGCAAGTCCCCCATCCCACCCCATAGTCAGGTGATGACACTCCATGCTCAGAACCTGCCAATAGATTCACACCACACTCGAAACCCAAGCTTCTCAGCGAGGTCTACAAGCCAGCCTTCACTTCCGGGATCAGCAGCTCCCACCCTCCCTCCCTGGGCACTGCCCTGCCACTGGTGGCTTCCAGTCACAGAGCCTGTACGGCTGAGGGTCCCTCTAATG